AGGGCAGGACTGAGAGCAGCCATAACTGCTTGCTCCGCCCTGTTGATCCCCTGGGAGCCCGCCCTGCCCAAGCCTCGGAGGCTTTTGCATATGAAAGGCCTGGCCCTTTGCAATCTGATAATTACCTAACAAACTGCAGCTGGCCCAAGGCCCCAGGGCAACTTGCATTGTGTCACAGCTGGCTCCTGCTGGATAGCCTCAGGCAGAGGCTAGATTAGCACCTCCTTAGAGATCCAGGAGCCAGTGTGCCCGGTGGTCAGAGTGGGACCATCCAGATTGCAGCTCCTCGGATTCATAAAGGACACACTCAGGGAGCAGACTCAGTGAGCACCAAAGCCCCAGTGAGGCAAGTCTTGCCCCATAAGGGTGTCTCCAGCACAGAAGTTCTCCCACTGCAGACACAGCTGATTCTCACAGCCAATTGGCCTGGAGGTCAATCCCTCCCAGTGATACCTACAAAAATCAAGGCTTAACTACAACAAGACTGTGCACAAAGCCCACAAGGGGGTGCACCAAGAGTGTCTACCTCAGGTAATTGGGGAGGCTGAGCCACTGGGCCCTATAGGACACCTAGCACACAAAGCCACTCTATCGATACAGCGAAGCATAAAAAAATGCGGAGACAAAGAAACAGGACACAAATGACAGAAATGGAGGAAAGCAAACGACTGGATATAGAGTTCAAAACCACACTTTTAAGGTTTTTCAAGAACTTTCTAGAAACCGCCGATAAACTTAATGAGACACTCAAGAAATCTAATGAGACCCTCAAGGTTGTGATAAAGGACCAACTAGAAATTAAGCATACACTGACTGAAATAAAGAATATTATACAGACTCCCAACAGCAGACTAGAGGATCGCAAGAATCAAGTCAAAGATTTGAAATACGAAGAAGCAAAAAACACCCAACCGGAAAAGCAAAATGAAAAAAGAATCCAAAAATACGAAGATAGTGTAAGGAGCCTCTGGACAGCTTCAAGCGTACCACCATCCGAATTATAGGGGTGCCAAAAGAAGAGAGAGAGCAAGATATTGAAAACCTATTCGAAGAAATAATGACAGAAAACTTCCCCTACCTGGTGAAAGAAATAGACTTACAAGTCCAGGAAGCGCAGAGAACCCCAAACAAAAGGAATCCAAAGAGGACCACACCAAGACACATCATAATTAAAATGCCAAGAGCAAAAGACAAAGAGAGAATCCTAAAAGCAGCAAGAGAAAGACAGTTAGTTACCTACAAGGGAGTACCCATACCACTGTCAGCTGATTTCTCAACAGAAACTTTGCAGGCCAGAAGGGAGTGGCAAGAAATATTCAAAGTGATGAATGCCAAGAACCTACAACCAAGATTACTTTATCCAGCAAAGCTATCATTCAGAATTGAAGGTCAGATAAAGAGCTTCACAGATAAGGAAAAGCTAAAGGAGTTCATCACCACCAAACCAGTATTATATGAAATGCTGAAAGGTATCCTTTAAGAAGAGGAAGAAGAAGAAAATGGTAAAGATACAAACTATGAACAACAAATACACATCTATCAACAAGTAAATCTAAAAATCAAGTGAATAAATAATTTGACGAACAGAATAAACTGGTGATTGTAATACAATCAGGAGCATAAAAAATAAATAAATAAAATAAAAAAAAACAATACTCCAGGGGCAACACTTAGAGAAACTCTTCCACCAATGGTTCTCTTCCTCCCCACAAAGCAATGGCATTTTCAACTTTCTTGTTGTGTTTATAATTTTTGGCCTCTCCTGCTTCAATAGCACTACCTGCTAGCTGGGTGGTCTAACCTGGTATCCCATCCACCGTGGAGTCCAGTCCTGGCCAAGAAGATGGAGAATTCATAGGGTGGAGAATTCACCTAGGATTTCGACCTACCTATAGAACAGAGTCCTGTGTGTTCTGTTGCTCAGAGAGAGGATAAGAGGGGAAAAGACTAGTCCCATTCCACCCCAAGAAAAACCAACGCCAGCAAAGTGGAAGCCAAGTTTCTCCCTTGTTTTTCTGGAAAACCATTCACTTCTAATTGGGAAAGAAATTCAACAGCTTGTGTAGCCGAGAAACACATTTTTTAGTAATGAGATTGTCCCCTGCACCTCAAGAGATCTGGCCTTCAAAAGCAGACTGTATTTGTTCTCCAAAGCTATTCATGTCTAATTACAGAGGAAATTCACTTGTATGGTAGAAGCACATTTTTACGTACTAAGGGAAAAGAAAAGATCCAAGCAGAACATTTGCTCTTAACAAAATTACTTTATCTAATGAGTACCTTATTATGAATTTTAATGAAAATAAAAACAATACAGAAAGTAAAGGGAATTACAAAAATCCTGTTGTTACACAGAAAACTTACAGGAATCAAGACGAGGGTAGAACAGGCAGACTAACACAACACTGTAGGTGTTGAACTTGGGTTTATGAGAAACATGTCTGCTGAGGTAAAAACATTACCTGCATTTTCAAGTGCATTATTAACAAAATGTTACTCAGACATGTTGTCTTCTCTTTAGCACAGTAATAAAACTGTACAACCTCTTTGATGTGGGGTTTTCCTATTTAAAAGAGATTTCACAACCCACTTCTCCTTTGAACCCATATAACACGTTTTTCCCCACATAGAAGGTCACTGGCCTTGTTTTCCTTAGAGGCATTAAATACAAACATGAAGCAATCAAAGGAACCAGTGTCTGCCCTTTTGGTTTTTCTTCTCCAAATGAAAACATTTATAAAAATATTTAGATGGGCAAGTTGACTATTGAAATTGTAATGTCCCTGAAGTATTGATTAGCTTAATTTATTCACATAAGTTTCAAGCTATTCAAAGCCCTATTTTTTATTCCAGAAAAACAGACAGAGCTGTTATTGTGCCATCTGCTTGCATGAGGAATCTCTTGGCATCTCTTAACTGCACATTTTATAAATTCTAAGTACCAGATGGCTTTCCCTGTCACAGTTGAAGGCTTTATAAAGATTTTCAAAAACAAATTCTTTACAATGTGAACACTGGCTGGTCTGAGCAGGGGCTGTGAATTTAAAGTGCACACTTGGATCAACTGCTTTGTCAACTGGACAAATTTCCTTTGTTCTTATGCCCTTTCCCTTCCTAATTAAGTTTTGCTTCTGTGAATTGAACACTTCAATCAATTTGCAGTAATCAGCCTGGCCCACATGGCTCAGTGGTTGAGCACATACCTATGAACTAGGAGGTCACAGTTCATTCCTGGGTCAGGGCACATGCCAGGATGTGGGACATGCAGGAGGCAGCCGTTTGATGATTCTCTCTCATCATTGATGTTTCTATCTCTCCCACTTTCTTCCTCTTGAAATAAATAAAAATATATTAATATATATCTACACTAATAAAAGAGAAACATGCAAATTGGTGTCACTCTGCTACGCTCACCAGCCAATCAGAATGAGTATGCAAATTAACCCAATAAAGATGGCGCTTAATTTGCATATGCACACACGGAGAGAAGACTGAAGGCTCCTCCCGAGCAAAAAAGATGACTGAAGACTGAAGACAACTAAAGACTAAAGATGACTGAAGAGGCTTGGCTTCTCTGTTGCGGCTGGAGCGAAGGCCTGGGTCCCAGGTGCTGGAGGAAAACTGGTGCTGGCAGCCAGGGGAACAAAGGCCTATTGCACAAATCTCTTCATGCAACGGGCCTCTAGTATATATATAAAGGCAGTGACTGTGATGACGGAAATGACTGTTTGACCGGTAACCATGCAGTGCTAGCATAGATGCATAGACATAGGTAAAGTCTATGAGTGAACTAAGAATGAACAAGACAAATGCTTGCCTTCACGGAGCTCGCACTGTAAGAAGGTTAGGTCAGGGATGAGAATTCAATATTGCCACCAGCACAGCCCTAACCAGTTTGGTTCAGTGGATAAAGCGTCGGCCTGTGGACTGAAAGGTCCCAGGTTCGATTCTGGTCAAGGGCATGTACCTTGGTTGTGGGCACATCCCCAGTAGGGGGTGTGCAGGAGGCAGCTGGTTGATGTTTCTCTCTCATCAATATTTCTAACTCTCTATCCCTCTCCCTTCCTCTCTGTAAAAGATCAATAAAATATATTTAAAAAAAAAATCGCCACCAGCACAGACCTGAGGTGCTGCTTCTCAGAGCAGCCAGAGATACACCCGGTAGCAGACTGGGGGCATGACTGAAGGGCTGGCGCTGATGTGAAGGCAGGGCTGTTCTGGATTTCTCAGAGGAGCCAATGGCAGCCTAAGAGGCAGAGCTTTTGATGCTGACTGGCATAGAAACTGACCAATCAGAACCAAACCTGGGTGAACTGCGAGGAGCCAATGGCTGCCTAGGAGGCGGAGCTTTTGACGCTGACTGACATAGAAACCGATCAATCAGAACCTAATCTGGGTGAACTGCGAAGGCAGAACCTAAGGCGGGGGCAGAGGAGGGGTTTTAAGGGCAACAGCTGTTTGGTGTAAGGTGTAAGAAAGTGGTTCAATTTTTTAATAACCAGTTTGGCAATATAGTGCATATGGCTGGCTATCAGTCCACATATAGGGATTATGTATTTTTGTCTCCTGCTGAAAAAGGCTCCCCCCCTCATTTAAGCAATCCTATCCTATATAATCTATCTATACTAATAAAAGGGTAATAATATGCTAATTAGACCAGGTCGACCAGCCATCTTCCAGATGTCTGATTTCCTTCTGGACAAAGCCATGGTGGTGGGGGCCAAGGCAGAGGCAGTTTGGGACAATCAGGCCACCAGGGGAGAGCAGTTGCAGGGGTGGGCAAACTTTTTGACTCGAGGGCCACAATGGGTTCTTAAACTGGACCGGAGGGCCGGGAACAAAAGCATGGATGGAGTGTTTGTGTGAACTAATATAAATTCAAAGTAAACATCATTACATAAAAGGGTACGATCTTTTTTTTTTTTTTAGTTTTATTCATTTCAAACGGGCCAGATCTGGCCTGCGGGCCGTAGTTTGCCCACGGCTGAGTTAGGGGCAAGATGTACCTTAGTAGCAATGGGGCAGTGGCCATAGGGGAAGCAGAAGAGGAGTGGGAATGGCTGTACTGGTTGTGGAAAGGTAGAGGGACTCCCCTCTAGGGCATTCACAGATGCATATGGGTATATTTTCCTAAACATTCTCTTTCCTCTATATTTTTCTTCTCAATACCTGGGACTTGTTTTTTGTTTGTTTGTTGTTTGTTTTGTCCCTTATCATGATACAGTAAAAAGACAATACATTTTGTATTCACCGAGTTGTATTTCAAGCTGGGAACTTGTATTCATTTTCTAGGGCCGCCCTAACAAAGCACCACACGGGGGGGCGGGGCACAGACACCTGTTTCTCTCGCTCCGGAGCTGT